CTGCTATAAGCCCTTATGATTTTTGGTAAATTGACACAAAAGGTCTTTTTTACCTAACAAGATCTTTGATATAACCCACTGTACAGCAGTCTCATTTAAAGAAAAAGTAAACAGAAAGAAGGCACATAAAGAAAGTACTAGATGTGGTCAATGAACTAGACTAGTATTGATGAAGTTGTGGAAGTGCAAAAATGATGTCATGGGTGTTTCTAAAAGCTAGTTTGACATAAACTAAACAAGATGAATAGAAATTTCCATAAACTTGAGTGTGCTGTATATGTGCTTCGTGCACATGAATGTGCACATGTTCATGTGTGCGGGAGTATGTGTGCACACATTATATATGTGTAGAGACCAAAGGTAGAAGTTAAATGTCTTACTCAATCATCTACATCTAATTTTTATCAGACAGGGTCTCTCCTTGAATGTGGAGTTCACTGAGACACACCATTATGCCTGACTTATGTTTTGTGGATCCAAACTCAGGTCCTCAATTTTGCACAGTTATCACTTTACCCACTGAGCCATCTTCCCATCTCCTAGAAATCACATTTCAAAAATACAATCCAGATGAAGAAAACAAAGCCTATGCAAATTAAATGACATATTTAGGGTAAGAAGAAGGGCATTCATAGCACTGGAAAACACGGTGTAATTCACCTAATGTCTTTTCAAATCATATATATCCTGTACATATGTTGAATGCAGAACACTTCTAACTTTTAACTTCTTATAGCCCTAATGTCTGTGAAGTTAACCCAAAAGTCATCTTCCCTTTAATTATTTTAATTGAAAAACCCCAGAGACATCCTAATTAAGTGGACTGTATATGCATAAAATATACATGAAGGTATCTTCAAATATAGCATGTGGACGTCTTCATTTCTTCCCTCTCTGCTCTTTTAAAAATGCCCCTTTAAAAATTTCCCACTCACCATCTGTTAGGTAAATTTCCTAAAACACAGTAAATGTGGAGGCAGAGACTTTCAGAGATGATTCCAAATGGCAGTGCTACCTATATTTATGTGATTTTAAAGAACAGATTAGAGCTGCTTTAAATCGGAGCCCCTGCCACCTATAGTAATACACTCCCTATAAATTAATCTGAGAGAGAGAGAGAGAAGGTAAGCATCTAAGTATATAAAATAGTGTTCTAATGGCTAAATATCATATGCAATTCCTGTGAATGGCAGAAAACCATTGACAAATTTGCACATGAATTTCATTTATGGTACAAAGTTTATAGGCTTAGATTTGTATTACAGTCAATGAGGTTACAATTTTGCAAGCTAGTTATTTCTGGAAAAAAACTATACACATACACACACACACACTGAACAGATGCCATGAAATTCTGTGCCTACAGCCTAGATAATGTCAAAGCACTCACACACACACAAATAGTATTCCCTTAGAATCAGGATTTAAGTCAGTGAAAGAGGAGCCTTAATCAGCAATGATCTTCCTCTATGCTGTTATGTCTCTCACATATGGCTGTAAAACACTGTTCAGGGAAGATTCAACCTCCGGCCACCACATTATGTAACCTCCCCACTTAAGCCATCCCTATCCTGTGATTAGTTTTTAAAAATATGTTACTCCTCGTCAGTAATAATTTATTTTTAATCTCTCCGAGCATTAAGAGAGTATTATTCTGCCCAGGCTTAGGAACAAATCTCCAGAAATTCCTCCCCAATGCTTCTTTGAGGCTGCAAACGCATCACAGGTCAGTTGCTGTGATTTAATTCTACTTGGCAGAGCACTGGCCACAAGCTAATTTCATTAGCCTCAAACTCTTGGATTTGAAAAAACCTACTAGATCTAATTCTTGTTCTCAGACATGTCATTTGCTAACCTATTCAGGAAAGATATAAGAGAGAGGGAGAAGGGGAGAAGGGAGGGAGGTGAAGAGAGAGAGAGAGAGAGAGAGAGAGAGAGAGAGAGAGAGAGAGAGAGAGAGAGAGAAGACTGACCTGACTGTCCAGTCCTATCTCTGGCCTTGCACACCAGTAAGAGGAGAATTCCCAGTGAAAGACAGTATTTACATCTGAGTAGTCATCCCTTGTCTTGTCTGCATTTTACAGTTTCCACCCTGGATGTTCTGGCAGTAGCAGCATTTGTTGTATCTTTGACTATCTCATTACTTCCTCCTGGCCCCCAGCACTCAGCATCCCCTCATTTAGTCTGTAAGTATCTCCTCCCCCAGGCTACAAGCTCATCTCACTATAAATTCGTATCTCAAGTGATCAGTTTGGCATGGTCCCTACTGCCACCCACGAGGAACAGAGCAAAGAAGAAATCTCAAATCACTGTAAAGCTCAGAATTCAATCATTTAGAGAGAGTTTATTTTATATAGGACAATTTTAATTGAACACAACCCTGTGGTCCTAGGGGAGATTTGTCTCCTCACTTTTCCCTCTTCCTCTATTTGAAGGTGCCCACTGTTATTGTATCTTTCTTCTCTTTAATCATTTTGGAGGTTGACAGAAGCTGGAAAAGTGGTGGAACATGCACGCTACGGGCTTCTGAAATCACATGCAAAAAAAAAACGGCACTAAAAGATATCTACGTGAAATAGAGACAGAGAAGCACATTAAGATATATATTCATATCTGTACATGTGCATGCATGGGCTCGTGCATACACACACTTACTTCAACATGGGGAATGGCTAAAGAAGCATACACACTAACTGCTATGCCCAGCTTGCAGCATAAGCCACAAGTTGGAGCAGCCCTCTCACTAGCAGCCTCTTTGCAGCAACTGCAGGTGAGAATCAGGGCCTCTTTTGCCTCAGCTCTACAATCCAGCATGAATAGCAGCAATTTGCAAATTAGAGGAAAATGACAGTGTTTTCTCTGAATGGTTTTAGTCCCAACCTACAGTGCTCACACTGGCATTGGGTCCCATCCTTTTCCAGCTAAGAGAATGGGAAGGGGAATAGAACACCAGACATTTGTTTCTTTGGAAGTTGCCTCAGTTTTAAATGCTACCGAAGAGAAATCAGCTCCCCCTGGAGTCCTTTGCACACTGTCCCTAGCTTCATCTGCAATGACTTTCTTAACTTGAGTATTTCACTCTGCAGACAAGGCTCAACTGGGATGATGCCCATGCTCCCACTGAGGAGAAAAACAAAGAAATTATACTAAAATGCTAAATCTTGAATGAGCAGCCCTCCTTCAAGATTTGGGAGGACCCTCCCGCCCCTCCCCACACACTAGAGATTCTCAGTATTGTCTCTGCTCCTCTCTTCACCTTTTCTGTAGCTGCAGCATCCCCACCCCCAAGTTGTCCAGTTTCAAGCTCAGAGGTGAAGGTAACTCTTTCGAGTTTCCATGACAAAAGCCTGGGGCCCTTTTAGAATGCAAGCAACCTAGAGTGAAGGCCACCCTCCAATCACTTTAAGGGAGTGCAAGCAGCAAGAAGTGTCCATGCTGACACATTCAGGAGGTATCAGGGTGTTCCAGTGATCAGAGGGGATTTGCTGGCTTCAGTTGAGTACCTCTACTGCTTGACCACAAACTTCCCACTCCTGGAGATGTGGCAAGTTCTGTGCTGGCCTGACTGTCAACAGCAGGCCCCTTATAAAACTCACACCCTTAGGAGAAGAAGCACATGAGCAAGAGTCACTTTCTAGGCTGGGCAGCACAGTCCTGAAGGGATCATCTTGCACATCTAAGGGAAGAGATTGACTGGATTTGGCAATCACCAAACAGGCAGCGAGTCCTGGTTAAGGAGACTCATACCAGAACTGATTTGAGTCAAGAACTTGGGAAGGAGGAAACGGCCTGAGATGGGGCCATGGGGATGGGGTATAGAAAAGAAAGAAAGAAAAAAGATAGCCAAACAAGTAAACAGAAAGAAACAAGCAAATAAGCATTCAGAGTTCTCCAAACTCAATTTCTAACACCCAAAGCCATTCATTTCTACTTAGTGCAGCAGAGGAGACAAGGGAACAGAGGCTGCAGGGCCAGAGGCAGAGCACTGCCCTTGGACCCACTGCTCATCAGTACTGGATCCACCTTCCGCCAGTTTGGAACCCAGGACATAAGAACTGCATGCCCTGCATCCCCCCACTCCAGAACACCCCACTGCTCCTGGGCCGAGCAGACACAGTCTCCCAGCTGAGCCTGGGATTTGGGTGTGGGGCTGTATTAGTGAGGGAGGGAGACTAGGAGCAGAGGGAGCAGTCAGTGAAAGCGATTTTATTTCGCAGTTAGCATGAGCTCATCCCCAGCTGAGGTCTGAAGTGGCAGCAGTAAGCTAGCTGATCGCCCAGCTCCTGCCACTGGCCGGACTGCAAATGCAATTTAGGTGTTGCACAAAATTGCCAGGAGGAAACCAACTCTGCGGGGATCACGTCAGCAGGCGGGGTCTCCCCAGTGGGGCGGGTACCCCCTGCCTCTTATGAAGACCGGCTACAGGTCAGAAATTCAACCCCAAACAGATGGGCAATTAACATCCACATGCGGGTAAACCCCAGCCCTCAGTTGAAGAAGGGGCTTCTTGAGGTCTTCGCGAATATTTCCGTGGAGTCGAGGTTTCCTAAGTGGCTCGGGCATGGGAAGCAGGGGAGTTGAGAAATGCCATTTTTCAAAGCATCTTCTCATTTTTTTTTTCATATTCCGTGTGCCTAACCTGCTCCCTAGGAGCCCAGGCAGGTTTACAAGCCTGTTTCCGACCATATTTCACTCTAATGCAAACCCATTTAAATCATCGCCTTGTTTTTCCGAAGATTGCTTCTTGTAAATGGGACCATAAATCCGGGGAGTCAGATCAGATGGAGTGGAGCATGGACAGGGGAAGACATAAATGAGGAGTAAACTAAGCAAGGAAGATACCTCCTTGGGTGGGGTGGGAGGGATTCGGCAGGATCTCCTGGGAAGAAATGCCGGAGTGCTGGCCTGACCCCTGCAACCCACGAAGTCCAAACCAGCTTTTAAGGTTAGAGCGCAGGGAGCCACAAAATGCTCCTCCCCAAAGGGAGCGCCCCCCCTACCTGGAAAAGCCTCAAGATGTTGGCTACCATGATGGAGACGGAGCTCCCCGAAGCCCCAATCACTCCAACTACTTTCTCTGGCTTGACGAAAACCGGGGGCTCGCCATTGGTGCAGCGCACGTCGGAGGTGTCCTTCTGGATGAGCGCCTGGACGAAAGTGAGTGACTGTTCGAGCGCATAAGTGTCCCTGGAACAAGTGTCCAGGATCCGCGCGCCTAACGTTACGTTGGGCAGCAGGTTGGGATCGCTGTTGATTTGATCTAGGGCATATAGCATAGCTTCCAGCCTGTGGATCCCGTTCTCCCTCTTGATGTCACCGCAGGGCACTCCGCTGGGACCCTTGGCGTGCACTGGGAACAGCCCCCCAAGGGTGACGTCCCCCTCGATCCGGATCGAGTGCGGGGCGTACATCTCCTGACCGCGCACCGCCGCCGCCAGCACGCACAGGAGCACCTCCAGCACGCAGCAGGGGAACTTCATCAAAGTCAGGACGCGGAGCAGCTTCCCCAGCTGGACCATGCCGCTCCTCCGGATGCTGCTGCGGTGGCGGCGGAGGCGCTTGAGGGAATGCTGGTGGGCTCTCCCTGGTCGGGGCTTCTCGAGGTGAGCTCCTTTGGGGGAAGCCCGGGGACTTCTGTAGGCACAGAGGGTGGAGGAGCCGAAGGAGGTGCAGCGGGAGAGGGTGGGGGGGTCCCAGGGCTCCAGCCAGCCTTGGGTACCTGGCGCTGTGGCTCTGCTGGCCCGCGCACCGAGGTTGCGCTCCCCTGCTTGCGGCTCGCGCTCTCCAACAGCCAAGCACTGGGGAGAGGGCAGGGATTGCTATCGCTTTAAATGGTCGTTGGGCTCCCTCTCCTCCTCCTCCTCCTCCTCCCACTCCCTCTCTCCCTCCCTTGCTTGCTATCCATCTCTCCCCACCCTTCCAGCGCCCGCCCTCCCCACCGGTTTGCATCATCACGCAGGGAGGGGCTGCGTGCTGAGGTAAGGGGGGTGGTGGTGGAGGAGGAATGGGTGGGTGGCCCGGGAGCAAGGAGGTTGCCTCTCCAGGGGAGTTTCGTGGTCCCCAGGGAATCTATGGATTTCAGGATAACAGTATAGCAAGCTAAGGTCTTGTCCCCAACTCTGGGGTGGAAGCCTCTGGTCTACCAACACCCACGCCCACGTTCTAGGAACTGCAGAGGTACACTTGGGATGAGGTGGGGATGTGGGAACTGACTGATCCGGAGCCACCAGTCTGAGACTTTGATCTCAGCTCTAGCAGTAAGAAAGGAAGTCCAGAAGTGGAGCAGCCAGTGAAAGGGAGTGGAGAGGGGACCCCAGTCTCCATGACTGGCCCTCTTGTGCTAGCTTATGCTAAGAAAAATACAGGACATTCAGTAGCCTGATTCATGACTTAACCAGCAGCTTCTCCGGGAGCAGGCACCCTCTAGCTTGGAAAAAAAGCCGAAACCAGGATGAAAGCTAAGGGATGCACCCTGGATCTTCCTAAGGACCAATGCTGGCCAAACTAACTACCTTCTTAAGCAGGTCTGCAGTAAAAACCTCGGGTTCAATCCGTGCCATTTCTTTGCTTTGCAACAAGAGAACAACCCCGAGAACTCCAGCACTTTCCTCCCTAGCGCTGACAGTTGTAAGGTTCCCTCCTACCTATTTCCAGAGACACTTCTGGGTTGGTGACAGTTTTTTCTCCCCTGATTAGGAAATATCAGGAAAGAGGAGAGGGTAGGAGGAAGAAAAGGGAACTGCAGAAGTCTCCTAGAAGACAAGAGATGTTATTTTCTCTTTCTCTGCAGGGAATTTGGGAAACAAAGCCGGGATGTTAAGGCAGGTTCCACTGCAGTGCCTCCTGTAAGGTAACCCCGCTGAAACTTAGCCCATTAAAGCAACAAGTGGAATTAGCTTTGTTACAGAGAAATTTAAAATTTCTCTGGGACCTTAACTCAACTATTGGTGATACTTTTGCTGGAGTGTATTAATGCTATATTATACAGATTTGAGGGCAGAGAGAAAGGTGAAAACAAGACTGTATTTTGTGTTGTCGATGGGAAAACTATCACATACAATGCTGTTACATTGCCTCTACCAGCAACTACCTACCTGTGTGTGTGTGTGTGTGTGTGTGTGTGTGTGTGTGTGTGTGTGTCCTTGGCATTTTAGTGCCTCTGCCTGAATTTTAGTTTTCCCATCTGGAAAATGATGAGATTGAGTTGGATGCTCTCCAAGTTATCTTTTAACTCAAATCCTTTGTTAAAATAGGCCATGTCCCTTTGGCTACGGTGCTTTTTTAGGCCAACAGTCTCTGTTGCTTTATGCTTAGGAAACCAGCACAGACATCTCTATACCCCATCGTCAATATTTACTGATGATGAGGATTTTATTGGTTAGGTCAGGTGCTTCTGCTATCTATTCTTCTTCACATAGAGACAGTCCTTTCTTTTGGAATCTATTCCTCTCATTTCAATGCTTATGGTTTGAGAACTGAACCTTCTTCCTATAATGTAGGTGTAGCTTATTAGTTGTCTGGTCCTTCTAGCTATACTGCAAAGATCAACTGAGGGAATAAAGATCAACCAGAATCCTGCAGAACTCATGCTGGTGGGGTAGCCAGGATGGGGACATGAGGTTGGGGTTGGGAGTAGAGATCACTGGACATAGAAACATCTCTATGTGTTAGTAAAAACTGGGCCCTCTGCTCAACACAATTCACATTTCTCTTCTGAAAAACTATTATGCTCTTCTGATTTTGTAAGTACAAGATATTTTATTGTCATCTTCCCCAAAACTGTACTGTGATTCATATGCAAATTATATCCAATATGCACATCAGTCACCCTCAGACTTGATGTCTTACTACACAAATGCACACCAAACATAGCTTTATTCCATGAAAGCTCCTGCTGTTTGCTGCTAGTCTGTATCTTTGAGGCTAGCTCCTGTTTTTTACACTATGGAACAGGGACTTTCTTGAATCCTGGAATAAGAGATACAGAACAATGATGACATGGTATGGTGGGGTAGGTGTGTGGTAGAGAAAGAGAAATGAGGATACATATCGATAAAATGAATATGGATGGCAATGACATGAATGGGGAGAGAGGAAGAAGGAAAGGAGAGAGAAGTTAGAGACAGAGACAGAGAAACACATAGAGAAAAGCATATAATGAGAGATAGAAAGAAAGGCATTCTATTAAAGTACACAATTGCTCCAGACCCAAGAACACTTGAAGGATTGCTTCTGTTACTTTCCATTTAATGGTAGTTTCTTTCTATGTTTGATATCTACAACAGTCTGTAGTTACTTTTCTGTTGTAATGCTCTAGACCGAACCACTGAATGTCAAGAAATAATCCTCTAAATTGGAAGAGAAGAAAAGGCAAGTGAAACAAATCAAAGGCATATTATAGGAGGATACAAGGACAAGAATCCCTAATTTTAAACACCAGTATCCTGGTCTGTCTTTGGCAGAAATGGAATCCTTCCTTGTTTTTCTTTTAATTTCATACCATGTTTTAGGAAATTGATATCAAAGAGCAATCAGAGAGATGAATAACAAGTTACATCCAGTCTTCACCTGTATAGGTATTCATCCATGTCCTTTTCTCCTACCCTCCTATAACATCCGATGATAGCACAATGAATATATTTTAGCCATCTGTTAAAGTTTGCCTAATTTGGTGTTCTTGCTGACTGGTTTTATGTCAACTTGATACAAGTTACAGTTACTGAAAAGAAGGGAATCTCAACTGAGAAATTTCCTCCATAAGATTGGACTGTAGGCAGGCCTGTAAAGCATTTTCTCCTTTTTCTTTTTATTAAAATTATTTATTTAGTTCACTCATCATCCAATCCCCAAGGAGGGTGAGGCCTTCCTTGGAGCATCATCAAAATGTGTCACATCATTTGGGGGAGGGTCTAGGCCCTCCTCTGTGTTTCTGAACTGAGAGAGTATTCCTCCATGGGGGGAATGGGCTTCCAAAGTCTATTGTGCACTAGAGATAAATATTGGCTCCACTGTCAGAGGTCAATTAGACTGCCTAGGCCTCCTAACTGGCACCCACATTCACAGAACTTAGTTTAGCCCAATGCTGGTTCCACAGCTTTATGACTAGAGTTCATTCTAGAGCCTTCTAGTATCTGACAGAAGCAGAAGCAGACACCCACAGCTAAGCACTGAGTCGTACTCCTGGAATCAAGTTGTAGAGAGTGTGAAGTGATAAGCAAATGGGTCAAGCCTGTGCTGGAGAAACCCACAGAAACAGCTGACCTGATCAAGTGAAAGCATTTTCTTAATTAGTGATTGGTATGGGAGCCAAGCCTACTGTGAGTGGGTCTATCCCAGACAGGTGGTCCTGGGTTCTATAAGAAAGTAAGCTGAGCAAGCCACATGGAACAAGGCAGTAAGCAGCACAGTAAGCATCACCCTTCCATGTACAATGAATTAGCTCCTACCTCCAGATTTTTGCACTGTTTTGTTACTGACTTTCTTAAGTGATGGACTATGATGTACAAGTGTAAGCCAAAGTATGTAAGCCAAACCATTCTTCTCCAACTTTCTTTTGATCATCATGCTTTATCACAATAGTAATCCTAAGAAATCCCTCTTCTCTCTGTCAATCTCTCCAAACATCTGGCAGCCACCATTGCATATATTTGTTATTTTCCCTGACAAGTTGTAAGACTGTTAAGGATATGAACTGGGGTGTTAGTGATCTCTTCATCCAGGACAAAGTTTTCAATGGTGTCTATGTCTAAGATTTGCTCATGTGTTGAGTGAATCAAAACTGGTTCTCTTACTATGCTGTCTTTACTGACAGTGACTAGAACCTAAAATAAATAGAGAAGAAATATAAACACATAAACTGATCAGCTCTTAGTAAGTATTCATGGCTTTTGGAATATAATGAATAATAAATGTCTTTGAAATACTCTTGCATAGAAAAATATGGAAGTCTGAGGTAGCCTAACTTAGCCTTAATGCAACTGATCAACTTTCATGAAAGCTTAGATTGGTTTCTCTGGAGTTAAGACCTCACTCTCAGACCAATAACCTGAGTCTATTACCATAGGCTGCATGAAGGAGTTGAGAGACACTGAGCTTGATTTTGTAGGTAGACATTAGCACACATGAAGTACACACAAAGTGAAGTTTGTTATTTGAGAAACTAGTGATGCCGAGCCTACAGAATCACTATGCATTTAGAACTCATAGCATCACATTCATTTTTGTATACTTAGCCACAGTGGACAGTCCAACCCTTCATACTAGGCACTCTATTTTTCACTGAGTATATAAAGTAAAATCTCACTATATGAAAATTTCAGGTATAACTGAGATAACCACCATTATAAGGACAAGCTTAGCAAAAGAATGAGAATCTAGTTTTGGTCACAGAGATGATACGTTACAAAAAAATGTCTGCAGGCTTGATTCTGTTGAAGCATCCATCTTCACTGATGGCCTCACAAAAAAATATTTAACTGAATACAAATTCCATGCTATTTTGTGTTGTTGAATTTTATTGTTGTTCAATTTTGATTTCTAACTCAGCTCCAGGTTTTTAGATATAAAAAAAATTATTTTATGAATTTGAATGTTGCCTTTATGTATGTATGTGTACCCTATACATGCATTGCTACAGAAGAATGGCTTAGCTCAGTATTTAAAAATACTTCCTGCTCTTTGAGGAGATCTGTGGTAGGTTCTGAGCACCAGCAGGGTGACTTTCAAATATCTGTAACTTCAGTTCCACAAATTCAAGTTACTTCGTCTAGACTTCCTTAGAGCCCGACACATGGTGGACATACCTACAAACATGTAAAACACTCAGATGCACAAAATGAAAAAGAAATATATATATTAAATTTATTTTAACATTAACGAAATATTATATTAATATATTTGTGTTAAGGTTGAATGTTTTCTATGGATGAGTATTACCATGAGCTTTTGTTATTCATGTGTTTCTAGTACAGGTCAACCTAATCCTCAAGATATATATATATATATATATATATATATATATATATATATATATATAAAACAACTCAGCAAAATAAAATTCCGGTTTATTGTTGGACATTGTTTCATACATACATCAAACAGGCCAAAATAAATAAAACAGCAACTTCATAGACAAAAAAAAGGAAGGAAAAAAAGAAACCTTTTATCTTTGGCCTTTTTAACTATCTCATACAAACCAACCACTTATAGTAGAGCTAGGTACATACACAAAAAAGCTACTGGAATGCTCGGAATAAGATTGGTTTTTTGTTGTGTTGGTTTTTTTTTTTTACAAGGATTTTTTTTCTCCTTTGAGATTATAATGAACATGGTCACACCACAAGTAAGGTCAGAAGTAGGACATAGAATGCTCTGAAGGTTGGCTTGGTCACCCGTTATTAAAAATGGCTGAACCCCTAGCAATATGTACAAAAATATAAAATGTAAATAAAAATACAAACAAATTTTCCTTTTAAAGTATTTTATAGAAAAAAACCAGGGCCTTGGAAGTTTGGGTTCTTTTTTTCTCCCCTGCTGCAAATTCATGTTGTGGGCTCGCTATGGGCAAGCGGGGCCTGCTCCTCTAATCGAAGGTGACCACGTTTAAATTCTGAGACAGGAAGTGGAGGGTGGGTAGGTCACGGTGGCCTTAAGTTTAGCTTTTCCTTTCTGTTGTCTAGTCACCCTCATCCGTCTTCTGCTTCTTGGTGTCAACATCGTTGTCCTCTTCATCTTCAGCTACCTGCTTGCCTGTAGAAGCCTCAGCTTCCTCATCTTCATCTCCATCCCCTCCCTCACCATCGCCTTATTCCTTCTCCAACTCTTCCTCCACACATTCTTCCTCTTCTTCATCTACCTCATTGTCAGCCCCCTGCTTCTCATTTTCCTCATTTTGAGCATTCCCTTTGGCAGGTGCGTCTCTTCTGTTCTTTGCCTCCTCCACAACTTGCTTTTTCTCCTTCAAGTCCTTGGTGGTGATCTCAGAGCTGGTGTCCACGGTGGCGTCTGACATGGTGCACGCTGGTGATGCACTACAGCAAGGGAGGAAAGAAACCAAGTTCGAGGACTCTGGCAAAAGAGCTGCCGGATTCCACCACACAGGAGGCAAGATATGTATATTTAACATGTTACACTCCTATTAACATTATTTTTATTGACCAGGATATAGACTGGACATAGGATAATGGGTGTTGTTTAATTTCCTAAGTGTCTTTGGGTTGCCTTCCAAGTTATGCACATGCCATTCAGCTTTTGTGCCTTCTGCCTGACCTTAAGATGCCCCACATGCACACTCTCTTATCCAATGTGCTTAATTCATGGATCTCACTAGTTAAAACTCTCACATCTCATGGGCCAGTCTGGGTGTAGAGGCTTTGAAACCACAAACAGAATCTAACTTCAGAACCAAAGGAGACCTCAATGATCTGATTCAGTTCTTCTTTCAATAGAGAGAGAGAAGACTTTCATCTGCCTTCTTGGTGAGATCATGAGATGGATTTAGAGAAAACCAGTGATAAACATGATTCTCCAGGTAATGCTAAGCCTTCCCTGTCATGTTTTGTTGTCCTTAAATACAATAGAGACAAGAGAGAAACTCGGATTTTGACATAATGAAACTCAAAACAGCATGTCTCTTTGCTATTTATACCCAAAGGCAGTCCAGGAGCTGCCATTTCTACAGTATGAACAAGAAATGAAACCACAGAGGGAAGCAGATTAAGGTAAGGAGCAAAGATCAGAACCTCAGCACGGTCATCTGAGATGCTGAGTCCAGCCATGCTTCCAGCTCCATTTACCACTGAGATCCAACTTCCTACTCACCAACATCCATCTGTTTTGTTGTTTTATTTATTGGATGTATACCTCCATGTATCTCAAACCTGCCTTGAGCTTGCTATGTTGGTGACAATGCCATGGAACTTCTGATCCTCCTCCTGTCTTCTAAGTGCAACAATTACAGACACACTTCACCACTTTGGCTGTCCCATCTTTTTGAAAAGCTAGTTTGAGTTGGTTCTCTCATAATCAAGGGTGTTAATTTTGACAGAGCTTAAAGATAAGCGGATAATTAAATGTATAAGAGGATACTGCTTATTAGATTTCTGTGAGAATGAATTATTGAATCTATAACTTTTTGATAATAGGGGGCAGTGGCCTTCATGTTAGCTGTCCATATGATTACTGACCTTGAGAACATAATGGCAAGCACCAAATGATCATTTTAGGGGAAATAAAATGAAAAAATAGTAAGGACCAAGTCCAGGCAATAAGTCTTTAAGTAGTCATAAGCATACAATGTATTATGCTCATCCATAGAAACATATATACTAATAGAATAGGTTTGTGTGCACATGTATGTTTCATGTGTGTGCATGTGTGTGTCTCTGATGAAGGATATGTTTTTAATATAAATCTATCAATAATTCAAAAATAGTGCAGGGAGATTTATTGTCACAGCCATTCCAGAAGCCAGCATTGTGCTCTATTCCTATGATCCCAGGTACCCCGGACATACAGGCAGGAGGGTTTTTACTTTAAAGTCAGTTGGATAAAACAAAAAGACCTTGTTTGACAAAGAAGAAGAAAGTAGAAAAGAGATGGGTGAGGAGATTATGGAGAGGAGAAAGAAGGAAAGGAAGGGAGAGAATTAGAGATGAAGGGAGGAAAGGGGACATAGAAGGGTAAAGGAAGGAAGGGAAAGGAAGAAAAGTAGAAGGGAAGAGAAGAGAAAGGAGAGGGAAGGGAATGAAAGAATCAAACTACATGACCATTTATTCTTGAGACCTGCATGCTTGGAGTAATGAGCCATTTAAGCAGTCTGCTTGAAGTCTTCATGTTCCTTGAATCAAGTGCTGGAACCCTGCTTGAAGCCAGGAAGCCTCCTTCCCAAGTCATTGTTCGAACTGACTTGTTCCCTTGGGGTTAGAAAGGCAGAGATTACACCCATGTGTATTTGTAGGCATGCTTTAAATTATCAAAATCGTGTGTGTGTGTGTGTGTGTGTGTGTGTGTGTGTACAGCAAACATGTGAGGGTGTGTAGATGTATATGAGGAGGCTAGAGGGTTTCATCACCAGGTGTCTTTCTCAATCATTGTCCACTTTATTTCCTTTTTTTTGAGACAGGGTCTCTCACTGTACTTACAGAACTTCAAATTGACTATATAAACTGGCCACTGAGCTCCAGGGATCCTCCTGTTGCCACCTTTACACTGGTTGGATTTAAGATGCCTGACTGCAATGCCTAGACTGTTATATGAGTTATTGGGTTCAGAACTCAAGTCTTCTTGCATCAGTGACACACTTTATAAACAGAGGCATCACCAGGCCCTCTGTTGTTTCCTATGTATAAACAGAATGTCCCGGGCAGGATACCTACTCAATAGTCTGGGGAAAAGCCAAAAGAAGCACTGTAAATTTGAGGCTAGTCTTTTCCACGTAGAATGCTCTAAACTAGGAAGAGATATATGGAGAGGTGTAGGAGGAAGCCTGTATGCCGCCATTAACCATGTGACTTACTAGAGGCACATACAGATGAGGTAATAAAAGAGCGGTTTACCACACCGCTAACCACACCCACTTTAGGCATGACTAAAGACGTATATGGACAGACATAAAGACATATACGTACGTAGGCGGTGAACTACATCACTAGCCAGGCCCACTTTTGGGCACGGCTAGGGGGCGTTACGGGGATGGCATAAAAGACAGCACAAAGGAAGTCTTGGTCTCTTTTCCCGGATTTCGGCTTCCGGTTCGGCAGCAGAAAACTACTTGGCTCATCTGGGATACTTGTTTGGTATCTTGTGAGTAATTTCTACAATAAATACTTAGTTTTACTTTCAGTAAGTGTACCGTTTATTGTTACAGCGTCATTTGGAGCCTCAGAGAGGTATTGTTTCAAAACAACCAAGGAATAAAACAAATACCTCCATGACCAACAAAATGCTGATCCATAGGAATGAGTATTTCCAGAACTTTTACTCCTAGAAAATGCATATGAATCACACATCTGGTGAATCATATGTCCCAATTATTCAAAGTTACATGGATATGTCTGATCATGGTGACCTTCAGCTTCAATCTCAGCATTTTAGAAACAGAAGATGCATTCAAGGCAGTCTTGGCTATTTAGTGGGATCCAGAGCAGCCAGGGATACACAGCTTGTGAAGAAATATATATATATATATATATATATATATATATAGAGAGAGAGAGAGAGAGAGAGAGAGAGAGAGAGAGAGAGATTTGGAGGGAGGGTAAGGGAGGGGAGGTGTGAAGAAAGGTAAGAAGAAGGAAAGAGGAAGGAAGGAAGGTAGAAAGAAAGAGAAAAAGGAAGGAATAACGAGTGAAATAGTAAAGGGAGGAAGGCAGAAAGAAAGAAAAAGGAGGAAAGGAAGGAAGAAAGAAAGAGAAAAGGGAGGAAGGAATCAGACATGCAAGAAAGAAACAAAGAAAGTGGCAGGAAGGAAAATTAAGAAAGATTGGAAGAGAGAGAGGGAAGGAAGAAAGATAGAAAGAGGAAGGAAGAAAGAAAGAAAAGGAACGAAGAAAGAAAGAAAAGAGAGATTGGGAGGGAAGAAAGGAAGTCAGGAAGACAAAAAAGGAAGAAAGAAAGAAAGAAGAATGGAAGAGAAAATGGAGGAATGAAGAAAGAAAGACAAGAAAGGAATACAGAAATGGAAGAAGGAAGCAAGAGGAAGGAAGCAAGAAAGAAAAGGAAAGAGAGAGATTGAGAAGGAGAAATGGGGAGGGAGGAAAGAAAGGAAGGAAAGAAGAAAGACAGAAAGATGAAGGAAGGAAGATAGAAAGAAAAAGAAAGAAAAAAGGAAGAAAAAAGAAAAAATGGGAGCAAGCAAGCAAGAAAGATTGCGGAAGGAGAGAGAGAGAAGGGAGAAATATAGAAAGAAAGAGAAAGGAAGAAAGATAGAAAGAGAAAAGGAAGGAAAAAAGAAAGGAAGGAAGAAAAGGAAAGAAGAAAGAAATAAAGAAAAAGGAGGAAGGAAGAAAGGAAGGAGAGGAAGGCGGTATGCCTCTGCCCTATCGGTTTTCATCTGGTGGTACACGCACCTGGCACCTCTGGCCTAGAACAAGCTGCTTGTCCGTATCAGGCCCCTTATAATGTGACCGGACTCTGTTGTGATTTAATGATGTACTTCAATCAACCACTCCTAAAGCCTTGAAAATTCAAAGATCAACATTTGCTTATATGAAGCGTGAAATTCAACTGTAAAAATTTAACAGCGGCAAATCAAAGGAATATTTTCTTTTTTGTTTATGAATTGATTCAGTTAATGTTACTCGAGTTTTTTTTAAAGTCCTGTTTAATCAGTCCCTTAACATGTCATCTAATCCTAGGTGGTCAGCCTTAAACACAAGTAATACAAAATGGGCTTGTTGGCTATATAAAAACATATGTACACATACAAACACACATACATGTGTAACAATAACAATTATAGAAGAAGATAAAGTAAATTTTAGAAGGAGTGGGGGAGCATAGAAAAAAGAAGTGGATGAAGGGTGGCTAAAATGATACAAATATGGTACTCATGCATGACGTTCTCAAAAAAGCAATAATCTGAATTCCAAATAATCTCTCTTCACAGTTTTAAAATTTGTCCTTCTGAATTAGCTTTGTGTCCTTTAATATAGTCAAACACAATGTCATATGCCTACTTTTAGCATATTCAAAACATTGGGCACTTCTCGGTGTGGTTTTCTTACTAGATCAAAAGACAATGTCCATTCCTTTGATTAACATCCACACTCTAAGGTTGAAGCAATGCGTCTTAAGTTCTTTTTGAATAATTTTTAGAGCTTTGCTTCTCTGCTCTGTGTCTCTGGCCTTCAACTTCCTGTCTGCACTGAATCTGGATAGGGAGAGTTGATACCAATGCAGTAGTGAATTAGTCTTAGTCATATATTTCTATGATTCCATTCTTAAGTTACTCAGACCAAACCCACTAGCTTCTTCCCCCAAAAGATATCTATAAATTAAGAGAATTGAGTTCTAATTCATTCTTCTTTTTTATTTAAAATAAGATTATGTGATTGTTGGAATTTCACAAACCAGTATTTCATCTGTACCATCTTCACCAATCCCTCTCCCTTCCAACTTTATTCCTTTCCTCCCCATCTCAAATTTATGATAGCCTACTTATTATTGTTATATATATTCTTCCATCCTCTAATGCCTTACATGTCCCTCTCCCAAATTCATCATCTCTTCTTTATTTATTGTTTTATATTTTATATCCATATATACATATTGTGAATTTCCAGAGTGGTATTGGATAACCTATTCATGGACTAATTTGTAGAGGAATCTGATTCTCCCTTTTCAATGGTCTTTGGCCAATTTAACTCTTCATCTAGGTGTGGAAATGTGGAATTTCTTCTCTGTAGTCTAATTACTAGGAGAAAAACCAGGAAGCATATTTACTGGACCTTAATTCACCCAATTACACTTGACTTAGTACATCTGTTCCATCCATGATGGACTAATTGGTCATGAACTTACACTATGACTTGCTGCCAATCAGAAAATCAGAATAAAAGAAGCTTCTCAGACATTTGCTAATGAACTTCTCAGGATTTCAATGTTCAAAGAGAAGGAACAAGTGAGGGGAGCCCTGTGAATGGCATGAGTTTCTGCCAGGTCCCACATTTCAGTCCCATGCTGAGTGCGGTAGATGAACTAATTTGAAAAGACAGAGATCAGCCTGCAATGAGGCTAAGAAAAACAGGCACGTGCATGCGCAGGCACACACACACACACACACACACACACACACACACACACACACCACTTAGCCACCCTCTCTCTCTCTCTCTCTCTCTCTCTCTCTCTCTCTCTCTCTCTTTCTGTGTTTCTTTCTGTCTACATTTGCCAAAAATTTCATGGAACTTCTCTGACTTTCTGCTGAACACTATATGTGTAAACAGGTTGAGTAGCTGGAAACTCAGGGTGG